AGAAGATCAAGGAAGACAATCAGTCAGGGATTGAAGAGAAGATGGAGAAGATGTCAAAACAATTGGCTAAAAACAAAGAAGTGTGTGACTCTGAGATTAAAAAGCTTCAGACGCATTATGATGAGATAATGGCCAAACTGACAGAAATCAGGAAACGCCATGAAAAAACATTGAGAGACAACTTGGTTAAAAGAATAATCAACTGAACCTTCTGAAATCTGAGTTAGAAAGGAAGAAGAAAGGAATTTTTGAAACAGTTGAATTCATGGAGAAATACCACAGCACCATGTCAGATTACAGCTTGATTTACAACCATAGAGAACTGACAAAATTTTTATCTGAATTAGAGGTTAATATGACAAACTGTGAACATAAAGTGAGGTTCAATAGAGGTGAAATCAATGATAAAGTACTTGAGTCTTTGTTTGTAAAAATTGTGGATTTAGATGATCTGAACTTGACTCGAATAAACTCATTTCAATATGCAGACAGTTTAAAAATAGTATTGGATGCACTCAGTGAAGACCAGTGTTACGTAAGTCATCATGAATCAGAAAATGTAGAGGTGGTAGACTAGCTGCAATAATGTAGCCCTCTCCGATTTTTTTTATCTGATATTTTTCTGGAGAGGCCTACAATTCCATCGCATCTCCGTAATGGTGCAAATATATTTTGTTGATACGGGTGATTGGAGGCAAAATAAATTATTTTTACATTAAACTTACTTCTTATAAGAATATATAATTTTTATTATATATATATAAATATAATTTTTATTCACTGTCAACAACATAGCCTGTTAAACTCGAAAACCATGTAAAATAAATCTGTGTCTTTCCCAGCTGCAATATTCAGCAGCCATGACAGTTCACGCGTGACGTAGTGAGACTTTCGCTTGAAATTTGGAACAACCAAATAAAGCAAATGTCGATGTTTATAAACGATTGTGCTATAATATATTACAAAAACATCGATAAATAAAACCATTTCAAGTGTTATTTTTGCACAAACAGTGATACGTATGCTTAAAATAAGGGAATTCCTAGCAGATCCGCTCCTATAGAACCTAAATTCTCATTGGCTGTCCCAAAATACAATCCATCAAGGTCAGTAAACATGGCGGATAAATTCAAGTTTAGCTGTTGACACACACGAAAAATAACCGATATATGGATCGTTGTGAATATTTTTGGATCGATTTATGTTTTGCATAATTACATATTTGGATTCCAGGTAAGAGATGATAATAAAATAGCCGTTTACTGATAATTTGAGCCGAAATCCGTGCGGGAGTGATCCACTGCCGCATCTGCACCATTATAGAGATCCTAAGGAGTTGTAGCCCTCTCCCCCCCCAAAAAAAAAAAAAATCGGAGAGGGCTACATTATTGCAGCTAGTGGTAGACAAGCAAGGTTCGAAATACGATACGTTTACTATTACTCCTAGTGACATGTGTGTGGCTGATAACAGTGATATTTATTTCACTGATGGTAGTGTAAATTCCATCCGCTGTCTGCAGTCATCATCAGGATCTGTCTTTACAGTCATCAGTACAGATCCACTTGAACCAATGGGAATATGTCAGTTAGTGGACGGCGGACTACTGGTCACCTTGACAGACATCGAGTCGGAAGCTTACAGTCACACAGCAGACGTCTGGTGAGACACATGACAGTGACAGGTGATGTCATCCATGAGTATGAGTTCCAGGCGGACGGTCACACCAGACTGTTTACATTGCCAGTCAGAGTCACACAGAACAATAATAGTGACATTTGTGTTGTGAATCGTATAAGGTCAAATAAAGTCTATATACCTTGGAAAGAACCTGACAAAAGACTTTAGCCCCGGTAATGTAGTGTGTGACTCTCTTTGTAACATCCTTGTTACTGACCCATTTAATAATAAGATCCATCTGCTGAGTCCTGACGGGAAGTTCCTGAAGTTCTTACTGACAGACAATGAAGTAACTGGTCCGTTCGCACTATCCATACACAAATCTACAATGTGGGTAGGATGCCTTAAAGGAGTTGTCTCAGTGTTGCAGTACTGGTGGAAAGGCGAAAAGGGCGATAATAGAAGTTCTTCAAGGAATGAAGGTGATCGTGCTGAATTTAGAGATCGGAGTAGAGGTGATCATGATTTTAATGACAGAGATGATGGATATTTTGGACGTAGGGACCATAGAGATTTCGCTAGAGAGGAAGATCACAAAAGATTTTTTTTAGCCCAAGAGATGATGAAGATTTTTGTAGAAGAGATGATAAAAACGTTGGTAGAAGAAATGATATTGACAGGGATTTTGGAAGAATTAATCGTGGCTTTGGCCGTAGAGAAGATCATGGGTTTCTTGGTCGTCGTCGTCCAGGTACTAGAAATTATACAGATCGGGATTTTGATTACTGGAGAACTCCACCAAAAGAGGATCACTGGAGATCAGACATGGATCATATGAGAGAAACATCTCAGCCAAGGAATGATAGGAAAAGAAGTGAAAAACGTGATGATAGATTTAAAGAAGCACGGAGAGGGGGGGGGGGGTAAGAGAAGGCTTGAAGGACTGGGTTGACCGGCGTTGCGAGGACTTCTGAAGAGGTCAGTTAAGTTTGTTTGAAGTTAAAACCTTTGCTTAGATAATGCCATGTAATAAGATAACTAATAGCAAACGTACAGACTGGTATAGTAACTGTCTCCAGTGAAAGTCAGATTGTTGTGGCAGACACGAAGTTTATTTATGGAGATTCTCTGAGGTGTCTGGTAAAGAAAACCGGTAGTAAAAATGTCATTTTTTAGAGTTATTGAATGAATTTGCAATAGAAGTGATTGGCTTATCTAAAAAATAAATCACTTCTAATGTAGCATCTTTATTGATACACTGTACCTGTTTTTCTAGCAGCATGTTGGTGATTTCATTATCTTTTGAAGATGACGCACCGCAGATCCCGAAGGAAGAAAAAGCTGTAGAAGTCAGCAGGCCAAAAAGTGGGGGGAAAGTGGGTAATGTCAAAATGTGTCTTTAATTTAGAGAAAATCCAAAAACCTCGCATTAATTTCGGAAGTGTGATTATCTTAAAATTACATGTATATGTATATGTGGCAGGTTTTAATAAATAAATAAATAATAAAGAATATTTATCTCAAATTGTTTTATAGTTATCATTATCATCACTGCACTTTTACATATCTCGAATTCACTTTGCCTGTTACTAATTCTGACTGGCTGACCTTTACAACCTTTGACATTACGGAATACATAGTTTTATTGGCCAAAGGTTTTGGCGGTAAGTATTCTTTCGTTCGATGTTGTGTGCGGGAGTACTCACTTCTCGCACGGACAGCCAACGTTACCGACTGTCTCGGTGATTACATTATACAACATTTGGGTTTTACAACCACAAGATTTCTAGTACAAGTTTTGGTATACAGACCACGTTCAGTTCAGTATACATGTAAAAAATTGAACCAGTATCTCGTCAGCAGTCAGCCTAATTCCATAAATTGGACCGATTTCGATTTATTGATTGTTTATATGGAACAGGATCCATGCAATAAAGAATCGAACACTTACAATTGTGTTTTTCATCATCTATATTACACGATCATAAAATTAATACGAAACGATTTTACGTTTTGCTGTAACTAAGAGAAAATTCAGAATTTAAAAATGTTGGTGGGAATGTCACAGTAATATGTGTATGATGATATGTATAATAATAATAAGCTTATTTAACTGTGCACTTTCTTATAAGAGACTTAAAATTTTTCAACCACAGGCCTTTAAAAAGGCTGGGGGGTGGCAGCCATTTTCAGACTATTTCGATCTCCTTTAAAAGAAGAGCTCCATATAAAGATATACAAAAATGATCAAATTTTAAAACTAAAAATGTATGAATTTTTTCTTCGCCAAATGATAGTTGACAGCTTAAGATACCGTATCCAAAAAATAAGTTAAATCTGGTGGTTAATTTGTGGATAATTTGTTGACCCCCAGCCTCCCTAATTGGATCGCTTAAAATTTGTGGTGTATATTTTTTAACACCTCTCTCTTGCATGTATTCTTTTTCTTTTGTCAAATAAGACGGATAGATGATATCGTGCTTGAAGGCAATTAGTTTACTGAACTAAGCTGAGTCACAATTTCTTTCAATAAATCTCAACTATCGTGAAAATTAGTGTTACCATGTTCTTTCAAATTAAAACAATTTATGTTCATTATCTCTTTTATTCTGCTAAATTCTTGATAGAAATATTTTTCAAAGCATTCAGTAGTTCAATAAAAGACCAACTGCGTGTTAGTAAATGGGAACAGATTTCTTGCATGTGTATCATTTCATTGCATATCGTCCATTCAGTTGAATATGAATACACAATATTCATGTTATTTTCGGAACGGAAAGGAGCTAAAATATGTCATGCTACAAATAAGCAATTTTAGTCTGTATATCCAATAATATTTGAAAGAAATTTCACATTATATTATTAACACTGATTAATGAATACATTTATAAAAAATATTCATAAATACATGTGTAATCAATTTTCCATCGAAACACCCACAACTAGTTTCGTTTCGTACTATGATTTACCAAGCTAAAAAAAAAGCATGACGGTGAAGATCTAGAACTAGCACACATAAATCTAAGGTCTTTGGTAGAAAAATTTCCAACGACAATTTGGAACGGAAAGGAACCAAAATATACATGTACATGTGTGTCATGATGTCACAGAGTTGTTAGTACAAATAAGCAATTTTAGTCTGTATATGCAAGTGCCCAATGTTATATTTGAAAGGAATTACATATTATATCATTTACTCTGATTAAATGAATACTTTAATTAAGAATAATAATCATTTTTCCCTCGAAGTACCCCGCAACTAGTTTTGTTTCGTTTCACGTAGTTCCACAAATTTCCAATAGCTAATAAAGCATGACGAAGAAGATCTATAACTTGCCTGCACATTTAATTTAAAGGTCTTTTGTATACAATTCCCGACGACATGGCAGCAAGTAATCCAACAAATTATCCACTAGGCTCTCCGCAACAGCATACCGAAACGTGCGAATTACATAAATTACCAATTGATATGAATTGTGAGGACTGTAAAACATTTATATGTAACATGTGTGCAAAAAGAGATCATAGAGATCATGACTGGAAACCTCTAACCAGTTCAGCTACCGAGCGGAGACGAGGACTAGGTAAATTCCTTGAGAAGATAAAGGAAGAGGATCTTTCTGAAATCAATGAGGAAATAGAAAAGATAAAAGAACAGCTTATAGAAAATAAAGATCTTTGTGCCGTTGAAATCTCAAAGGTGCAGAACCATTTCCATGATATAGGGGTCAAGCTGAAAGAAGTCAAAGAACGCTTTGAAAAAAAATTGAAAGATAATTTGGTTGAAAAGAATTGTCGACTGGAGATTAAAAAATCTGATTTAGACCAGAAAAAGAAACGTATTGTTGACATGGTGGAATTCTTGAAGAAGAACAACAGCACCATGTCAGACTATAGCTTGATTGACAACCACAGAGAACTGACAAAATTGCTGTCTGAATTGGAGATTCAAACGGCAAACCGTGAACATTCAGTGAGGTTCATTAGAGGTGAAATCAATAATAACTTACCCGAGTCTTTGGTTGGCTACACTTTGGATTTGGATGATATGGGCGTGACTGAAATAGACAGTTTTCAACTTGGAGATAAAGAAATACCGGTATCTGTGTTAGAGACAATTAGTGAAGACCAATGTTATGTATTAGATAAATCAAAATGTGTAAAAGTAAAACTAGGGCCTACAAAAAAGAAAAACGTAAATATCACTGTTAATGCAAATGATATATGTTTGACTGCTAACAGTTATGTTTATTTCACTGACTCCAGTAACAAAACCATCCGCTTTCGGTCATCATCAGGATCTTTCTCTACAGTCAACAATAAAGATCCACTGGAACCACTAGGAATCTGCCAGTCAGTGGACGGTAGACTACTGGTCACCTTTAAAGACAATGAATCAGATCCTTACAAATTAGAGTCACACAGCAGACGTCTGGTGAGACATATCACATTGACAGGTGATGTCATCCATGAGTATGAGTACCAGGAGGACGGTCAGACCAGACTGTTTACTTTGCCACTCAGAGTTACACAGAACAGAAACAGTGATATATGTGTTGTGGATGAAGCAAGCCTTTCTACAGCTAACCTAGTGGGTATTTCTCCCTCTGGTCAAAGGAAGTTTCTCTACCTTGGACGGAACCTGTCTGAGAACTTTAAGGGAACAGATGTAGCATGTGACTCCCTCTGTAACATCCCTGTTACTGACATTAACAACAAACACATCCATCTCCTGAGCCCTGACGGGGAGTTCTTGAAGTTCTTACTTACAGAAAACGAAATGAAGTACCCACGCTCTTTATCTTTGTATAAGTCTACACTTTGGGTAGGAAACAACAATGGATTTGTCAAAGTGTTTCGCTACAAATAAATCAGACCTAATAATTCATGTGAGACAAACAGCAAAGAAAGAAAGAATTTCTTATAAAAATGTCATATTTTACTTTCCACAATCCTACATTGTGGTTAAGATCCGCCTTCTAGCTTGTGAAAGTGCCTCAGTAAAAATCACTCAAAATGTAAGGATTGTTTTCATTCATAACGATTATGAATGATTAACATAAATGCTGACTGGCGTTTTTCATACTAATTGTTAGTCCATTATTTATACACTGAATTGACGGCGGATTTTTCCGTTATTTCCCGATCATGACAGTGAGCACACGGCGGATGTGATCCCACCTCTGATGTTTTTAGGTCCATGTTTGCTCAGCTCCTATTTTGTACTGTTTTATGGACTTTGATATTGAATACTGTTCGTTATCTCCATACTCTTCCTCATATCAAATTAATTATCATAATTGTTGCATGAAAGAACATCCTTATCAAATTCACCGATCTGTACTTTATTACACATGAATTTTTTTTTTAATTATCTTCCTCTTTCAAAGGGGAAAGTATTTTTATAAAAGCTATGGATAAACACGTGTATGTGCTATGAATGTTACGTTTCGGTATGTCGAGGAAGGTTCATTTGGTTTAAAGATAAATAGATTAAATCCGCTGAATCCAAGTTCATACTTTGTATAGAAATATTTTGAGCTTTGTATTATAAATAATTTATGTTCGTTGAACTAGATAGATAACTGGAGCATAAATTGTTTCCATTCAAACTTATAGGCCTTTTTTTTCACAATGTATTGTGTACAGTTTTTTCTTAGTCATGGGTCTCATCACAAGGAGCACACGACGATTCTGGCGCCTTATCTTACTTCTGATGTTTTAAGAGGTCCATTTAAGCTCTGTTTTAATCAATATTTTTAAATGGACTTTTAACTGTGATTATTTTAAGGAATCACTGTCTAGTTAGTGTGGTATGCCAGAGCATCAACGATGGTGGGAAACATGGGATAATTTGCATAAAGGGCGAAGCCCGTTATACATGAATTATCCCATGTTTCCCACTATCGTTGATGTCCCTGGCATAATATACTAACTAGACAGTGATTCCTTATATTTCCATTTCATTTTGAAATAAAATTGTAGATTTAGACTTTAAAAATGTAGACCAATCGATTTAGATTACACGAGGACTCCCATGCCAATTTCAATAGTCCTCGCCCACTGACGTCAAACACAAAGGCAGCCGCACGAGATTTACATGCATATTTGGCCTCCTTAGCGTCAGACATAGAGACAGATGTACACGAGATTTGCATGCATATTAGGCCTCCTTAGCTCCTGACCTATCGACCTGCCTAATTTACATTCCGGCAGAATTATCAAGATATAAACTCTAACTTTATCACAGAGAAAAAAAAATAGAAATGGAAATATTGTTTTTTATCTTCATATCTTATTTCAAGAAATAAAAAGGGTGGAGTTTAAGACGTCTGTGATTAAAAAAGTTTTATGTAACACACTAAGCAATACAAGGGCTGTTCAATAATAATGTCCTATGTGCTTGGAAAGAAGCAAAAAAGGCTTTTCAATAATTTAGTCTAAATAATTTAACTTAAATACTCTCTTTGATTAAAACACATGTCCGTAACATTTTTATCCAATTTCAGATTGGTTTTAGAACTCATTTGTGAGAATGGCCCTTCGTATACTGGATTATAGCAGAATCTATGATTTTATGGACTTGTTTTTTACATCTGAAAGGTGTTTATTACAAGTTTGGAAAATGAACCAAGTCAAAGGGTGACAGATCTGAGGAATATTATTGTGTGACAAAATATAACCTTTCTGTTTATCCCTAAAACTCCTCTACTCTTCATGGAGTGTTGGTTTGGACACCGTCATGAAGAAATTTAATGTAGTGGATTCCTGATTCTAGTTCCTTCCTCCAAAAACCTTTGGTTTTTTTGCAAGATAAATGCTTTCTAAACTTCTTCAGAAATTGAACTGCCTCCCCAAATAAGAATTTGAACAACAAGACCACAAATATTTAAGAAAATGCCATATAAAACTGTCTTTGTCATCTTGTAATTCTTAGCTCTTTTCAAACCTTTGCTGTTTCTGTCAAGTGCATCTTATTGTAAAAATGTTTTGAGGGTAATAAAGCAATGAATTCATGTTTCGTTATATGTGTGCATTTCAGACAAACGTGGATAACTACAAATTCTGATTAAAAAAAAAATGATTGTTTGGATATTCTTACACGATGTCGATTTCACTCATTCTTCAAAATATAGGGTGACCATTGAGTACTTAGCTTTTCTACTGTCAATTGTTTCTTTGAAATAGTGTGAACAGCCCCCAAAATAATGCCTGTTGTATTTGCTGTGTGTTTTAAAGTCAATCAAACATCATAATTCAGAAGTAATAAGTCGCCAAGGACGGTACCCATTTTTTATGCCCATTATATCATTATTGTTCATTAAAATACCCCTGCTCATGTGTCTATAAAACAGGCATTTGTTGCTGTTAATATCATAAATTTCACTGAATATTTCTTTTGGAATCTTATCAAGTTTTACAGCAGCCTCAGTGAAGCGTTTAATTTCACTCAGATTTACTGATTCTTTATCATTCATTTTTGATGCAGTGTTTCGAATAGCCTTTGTTTATCAGCTTCTCACAATATAAATACGGGTGAAAAGTGGTCACATAAACTGATATCAATTCATTAAAGATTCAATCATGAGAGAAAGTCACGCTTAATGTCATATGATATCTGTGTTGTATGTCATAGAGTTCTAGAAGTTCATAGAATTTCTAAGCAGACGAACCCTGGTGTTTAAAAAATCAATGTCAACCTTTTGTAGAAATAGGTCATTTAATATTTATTCGAAGTAAATAAATGTACCCTGATTTTTCTGTCTGACAATTTACTTGTAATTTTGATTGAAGTAATGTAATGTAAGAGTTCGCAAAGCGATTGAAATTTCTTAAACCAGATCAATTCCGATAAATAACTGCTGATTGAGAATTTGTCCCTTTTCAGATACAGATTCCGCTTCTAACACTAAGCTTGTAAGGCTTATTAACTCGAAACCAGAAAATCGTCCCAATCACTTTACACAGACACTCGCAACATTTTACCAATTTATTCTACACCTAGTGTAAAGAAAATCAGTTAACATACACCTAATCTATAGAAGGTTTTGCCAGGTAGAGGTACATGTGTCTCCTTAGGGAGTACTTGTTTGCCAAGTCTGATGATTTTACGGCTCTTGAAGCCTGT